GACTACGAAGTAATTTGAAAGGAGACAAAGATAGAAAACAAATTCCTTATTACCTGTTCAATCGCTTAGCTTGGAAGCGATGGCCATTAAACAAATAAATTTTTTTCCACCGCCGAGCTCCTCGGCGATACACATTCCCTACAACATGCATATTCATTTTCAACAGATAATGCACATTCCTACAAATTCTTACGCTCTGATTATGTCAACATCTCAAACTAAACAGCCACATTCACACGCTCCAATACTGTCTAAAATATTTTTGATCATGCATTTTAGACAGTATTGGAGCTCTTTAATTGAAAAACTTACGGTCTTCTCCTTCACAAGGCAAGCCAGGAAGAGCAGGTTGTCCAAGAAAAACATGTATATTCAATTCAGCGTCTCCACTTTGTTGCAAAATGCGAACAGCTTCATCGAGTTCTCGTTGACTGTCGATCGAGACTGGATCCCCTAAAAAGGTGAATTAGAGCGCGCATATTTCCTAAAAAATGATCTGTGATTCGATTACTAGCATCAAATACGACTCAAACTCAAGAGCTCAAGTCCATACCAGTGTTAACTGAATTGCTAGATGTTTGAGTATTTTTATCACTATAGCGAATAGTGGATAAAGGAATAATTATATAAGATCACAAATAATGTGAAGTGATATCTGCGAACTACTTATTGATGTCGCAAACTTGATGAGAAATACGCTACCAATTCAAAATAATCTTTTTTAATCCATCTGCAATCTCAGACAGATTGAAACTTTTCATTTACGTAAACAAGTTTTCTCACAAAAAGTCACTTCAACGCAATTTCATGATGGATTTAGAAAAACTTACCATCTTCATCTATCCACTTAACTGTGATCGGCTGTGAGCTTGGTTGCTGACATGCTTCCCTGAGCAATGAGAAGAAAGAGTCCAGTTGAAGAGGAGGACGAGCATATAATACCAATACCTTCAAAGTAACTGATAATATTGAAGCATCTCTCAACAATCTGATAACTCTAAACTGCAAAAAGCTGAAAAACTGCTAACAAATTTAACAAACTTGTTATCAAAATATTTGTGGTAAATCTTCTGAAAAAAGTCAATTGCGGTTCTCCGTCCCGAAAAGAAAATGCAGGGATTTTGACGAATACGACGGGCCTTATAACTACTCTGATCCCGATATTTAAGGGAGACATATGTACCTGCAGTCAGCAGGTCATTTGAGTATTGCGGCTTCTTGATAGTTCGTAGACTGATAGATCAAATGTTAGAAAACACACAGCGGTGGATAATTGAACGAGAAAGTCAACTAAGAAGACAAACAAGGTCCTTCATCTCTAACAATCCGTACTCAAAAACATAGAGCCTTCTTACATTAATATATTCGTATTTGACGCGGATGTCAAGAAAATTGAAAATTTAGAGCTGATGACTATCTCTAATACTCAAGCAGATTCTCCTTAGATGGCCATCAATCTAATGTTCCAAAGCGAACATTTAGAAGGCGACCACTAGAAAGCTTCACCAAAAATCGGTAGTGCTTTTATGGAGTGGTGACGTGAAAGAAAAGAAGCCCAAGAGATCTACGCTCATGAATTCAGAGAGGAGAATTTATAACTCAATGCATAAGCACGTAAGAAAAAATGTAAAAACGCACCTGGCCCAAAAATCGCGTCTTTAACTTAATGTCTATCTCCTCTTCCATCACCATTGCGGCAGCGATCGGAAGGATAATTTAATGAAATTCAGATATTAAGTAGAAAGACAAGCTGTTCCGCTTATGCGTTCCTGCGGAGATGACATCAATCAAACGCTAAAAAATAGTGATGGGTCATCGTTCGCATCAAGGCTGCCTTTAGCATTGCAGCGCGCAATCTGAACCGCAAACAGGTGCTATATACATTGACAGAATTGAATGCTTCACACTTTTGAATGAAACAACTGAATATGAATTGTCCAAGGATTCGTTTGTTTGAGGTTCCTTTGAGACCTTGGTTTTGGAATTTATATATCTGACTGCTTGACTTTTCAATTTCCGAGGCATTTGAAAATTGCAGTATTCGATTAGACATTCAGATATTGTACAAACCCGATTACTCGAATATTCAATCACAATATCGGACGATATATAATAACTTTGAGACGCCTGCTATTTGGCAAACTAGCCAACGGTCAACGCAGCTCAAGCCTCAATTATGCCATCGGCGGCCTCGCGCCCCGATGAATAGCTTTATTGATATTATTGTTGTAATAATATTTGGATATAGCTAGTCGGTATGTCACCCTGTACCTTACATAAATTCATTGTCTTTACTAATTCCTAACATTTTCTATATTGTAATATATTGTGAGAATACCTACTAATTCCTAACATTTTCTATATTGTAATATATTGTGAGAATACCGTTTCTCATGCTCTTTGATTACAGATCGTACAACTTCGATGACAACGCGCGTTCTCATAAGGAGAGGAGGAGCCGGCTGGAGGAAGCCACGGGCAGAGAGGAACCAACCATCGGAGCTG